TCAGCGAAGCCAGTATCATTAATTACAGCCCAAGGACGAGAAAAACAAGTCTCTGTGGCCATGAACTTATTTGAAAAAATTGACATAGTTTCCGCATTTGAATGGATCATACCTAGCATGGTTGTCAAATTTCTTTTACCTCACAAACTATTTTTATTGCTTGTCTCGTAGTTAAAATGTTTCTAAATAGCCCTAAGCCATAAATTCACAGAAATAGACGTCCTAAGCCATAAGATAAAATAGCCCTAATAGATAATAGAAATAGCCCTAAGCCATAAGATCACAGAAATAGACGTTCCAGTTTGAACGATGCAATGATCGTTGTACAATACAATGGAGACTTCGACCACAAGTCCCCAAAATGGTATTCACTCTATGATGTCTATGGTGTGGGCAATTTAACGCCATATTGATCCCCACGGGTGTTGCCAATATCGTACGGGCAAAGTCCCCGATGCCGCCTAAATCGATTAACCTAACCTATACATAGAGTACTCGTCATACAGAACCAATAATTTGACAAACAAGTCTCAAGATGGGTGGTGTCCTACTCCTCACACTTAAAAGCAAGTGGATCGTGAGCTATCATCTACTTACTCGTCCACAGAAAAACAATAATCTAGAATATTCTAGAAAAATAAGATAAGACCCCTCTAAGTTTCTGAATAGTAGGTTTTTTTTGGAAGTTGTGGCAATAGCCAATGAAATGAAAATGAATAGTTAAATAATAATAAATATATTTCATGTCAATTCCTTTTTGGACACTGGGATACAAAAGCTTAATTAGATATCAAACAAACTCAATTCAACAATACTACTGCGCCTATTTCTATCGCTAAGCCTTCGTTCTGGTTTGAACAGTTACTGTACCATGCAATGCGGTTAAAACTTACCCACCTAGGTCAAATTCTCTTAGTTATAGTAATTAGTTTTAAGAATTTTGGATTCGAATAAGAATAATAGGATAGGACATAGAGGAGATACTTCAAACTGCAATTGGAATTTTAAATATACTTAAATTCAAGATCCAGAAAAAATGCGAATTTACATGCAAAACAAAGATTTAGCAGGATAATAAGGATAATTAGAAGGATTTTAGTAACAAAGACAACGAAAGTGTAACAGATAACTTTGATTGGAATCAAATCTGGTAAGCTGATAACACGCCACAGACGATTTGACTTCGATACTTAAGTTGACAGCAACAGTGATATGACTAGCAGGTTCGATACTAAGCGAATTGACTAATTTCATGATACAATAGTAAAATCATCAAGTAAAATGGGAATGAAATATTTGAATTTACAAGTAAAATTTATACCATCGACCCATAAATTAGTCCCGCAAAGCTATTAAATTTGTAAGAACTCACAAACCGAGCCAACTTCACATCAAACGGCCATTTTCACATTAATAATCCATCACCCTTTTTTCTTTACAAATACATCACTTAACCCTACCGCGACAACCCTTCGTTCGTAATTCTAGAAATTCTCAGGGCGTTAATGTCACGCCTCTGCCACAACACAACTAACACTAACTAGCTAAAGACAAAATCAAAATAAATCGTATGCCTTATAACTTAAGATCGAATGTGGTTTAATGTTCAATGATAAAGGAATAGGGTAATATCGCACACGATTTTTAAGAATAAGTCTTTCAGGTGATTGTTCCAATTAAAATGTGCTGCTGGTAACGACCTTAAGTAAAGGCTGGAAGGTTTGTTTTCGATGTTCAAGGTTTATTTTATTTTTGTTTTGAGGTTAGGTGACAATGGTGACGCCATGTTGGTTTATGGAGACGAAGGGGGAACACGCGGTAATAATGTACGGCTTATAGCAGTTTAATTGGCTCACAACTACGAAAACTGATATGAAAAGTACCGTTAAGGAATCGATATCTCGTGTTTTATTAAAGGTCTTGTCGAGTTTTGAGTTTGTCGTGATATGTAATTACCAGACGAAGTTCGTAGAATAAATATAGGGGCTCTGTAATACAAACGTCTTTCGTATTTAATTTTGTTGTGTTTGACGGAATTGATATCAGGGAAGGGTATTATTTTTTGTTTTTGTATCTATTATCGTTCCAAAAATGTTGTATTTACTTCCGTTTTCGCGGGTCATACAATAATTAAAAATACTTCTATTGTTTTACTCCAGCGTTTATTGATCCCATAATCGTATTCCCGACGATTCCAAAACTTTTAATTTTTCGTAGTTATAGACGACTAAAATCACGGAGACAATACGTCTTAGGAATCAGCGGCAACAAAAATAGCTATAGTACATGTTTTATATAGGATTTGAACCCTAATATTATAGTCGAAACACTCGATACAAGCACACTAAATGTCTTACTCGGAATGGGCACATAAAAAATTACAAAAAGTATGTCTAGAAACATCCTTCTAATCTGAATCCAAGTTCGTGTAATGCAAAATATGTTTACAAAATTTCTAATACAGGGTTCTAATAAGACGCAAAGACCGGCCACTTGGAAAGAATTGCTAACAAAGAATATAGGACTACTCAAGTGGTCGAGTGCTAATTCCGGCCTCTTAGACCTTAGCACTTAAGGGCAATCGTCCATCCCTGAGGAGGCTACATCAGGCTATATTACAGCTACTACGAGTCCGCCTCCAGCTACGCTTCGGTGAACCGTCGCCATGACACCTCGGAATGTCCGGCAACCGTATTACCAAATGTTCTCGAAAAGATTGCCTGCTGCTCGTAAATGCGATTGAGTTTTCTAATTAGATTGAGTGTTAATATGAAAAATAGTGACAACACTGTGTATTAGGTTAGCTGCGGACTTAATATGTCCTTAAAGCTTACTAGTCACCGTTTGAATCCAAGAATAAAGAAAAAAAACCAAATGGCGGCTTTATTCGTCATCAATATTTTTGCCAAGTGTCGTTAAGTTCTAATATTTTGTTACCATTTTAGCTTATATGGTATTTTATACTGCAAAATGCATAAACTAAAATAAACTGAAAATTTGATAAAGTTTTTGAATATTTCACATACAAGTGTTATTGAAAACCGAAGAGGTTTTTAAAGACTCGCTAAAATGTGAACGTAAAGTTATCGCGAATACCTACATAGTTTTTTACTTTTGTTTAAAATATTGTACATACATGTAGTACAATTGGAATGAGCTGTAATGCGAGATCCGTTGCCTAGACAGCTAACGGTTCATTTAGCTGTCTATTTGCTTAACAATACAGGCTTACGACATGCTAAAGAGCTAAAATGACAAGTTTTAATTAGCTAGCTGTGTAATTAATTTTTTCTGTTGTTGACGAGACAGCTGTTTTATTTTGCTTCCCGTTTCTGTGTTTTTGGGTGTCTAGCTTATTGTCGTTTTGACTATAAATTTATAACGTGAAATAATTCGATTTCAATTTCTAGAGATAAATTATTGATAATAATATGTTCTTCTTACATGAGCTATTAGAAAGAACACCATGGAATGAGTTAAAATGCTTAAAGGTACTTCTGTACTGAGTAAATTACCCGAAAATACCTGAAATGATAAGTATTAGCTAGCTGTGTAATGAATTTTTTTCTGTTGTTGACGAGACTGCTGTTTTATTTTGCTTCCCGTTTCTGTGTATTTCTGGGTTGCTAGCTTATTGCCGTTTTGACTATAAAGTAATAACGTGAAATAATTCGATTTCAATTTCTAGAGACAAATTATTGATAATAATAATATGTTCTTCTTACATGAGCTATCGGAAAGAACACCATGTAATGAATTAAATTGGAATGAATTGAAATGTATAAAGGTACTTTTTTACTGAGTAAATTATCTGAAAATACCTAAAATCACAATTATTAGCTATATGTGTAATTAAGTTTTTTCTGTTATTGACGAGACTGCTGTTTTATTTTGCTTCCCGTTTCTGTGTATTTTTGGGTTTCTAGCTTATTGTCGTTTTGATTGTACAGTAATAACGTGAAATAATTCGATTTCATGTTCTAGAGATAAATTATTGATCATAATACGTTCTTCTTACATGAGCTATTAGAAAGAACACCATGGAATGAATTTAAATGCATAAAGGTACTGATTAAATTACTACTTTAAAACTTCGTATGTAGTAAATACGTGCTTTAAAAACTCATTTTACTTTACTACTTTCGAGTATTCATGGTACTAGAGAGGGTCATTGGGGGGTAAGAAAGGAGGTGTATCGAGCCCACCCCCGGGTAAGTGTGGCCCGGACACTTGAGGGGTGAGCGCCCGGCATCGGCTTTTGACAGTCCGCATTGCTATAGTGCTCGGGAACAGTTATGGAATTTAGAATATCTTTTTGCGAAATACTTGACATTTTCAGGTTCTATTTGAGATTTATTGTATTGTAAGCGTTGGTTGATGAGCTCACGGACCACATGTTATATTGCAGCAGCCACAAAGGCCCGTTGACAGCACAAGATGATTGAACACCGTCCCGCTTGGGCTATGAAACGGTCTTCCCATCTTCAAGGGTGCTAGAACAACTATAAAGAAGTTTTTTACTCACGTCCATTTAAGCTACAACCAATATCGAATGAGTTACGTGTTTGTAATTGGTAGGTTAATATGTAATGCAGGTTTCATAAGGCAAGCCGCTATCTTATTTTAAGTAGGATTTTCTTCGGCTTTCTTCTTAGATATAATTAAAAATATTTTTACGGTTTTATCACGCGTTTTGGAACGAAGTTCCTTATGGAGATGTTACGAGTTACGATGCTTACCCTAACCGGGAAAAAAGTCTGTAACGTAAGATTTTTATTAGTAATGCACACAGTGTACCCCAATAAGTTCACACGTTACCGAATGACCGTGGGTTGTTGCGAAACCTCCAGTTTTATTTTCTTTATACCTCGAACAGAACTTAAAATTAATATTTTTATAATAAGGAACTTCGTTCCTATCCGGTGTCCCACGACACCACACATCTTTCTTTGTTGTCATCATATTATTTCTGACCTTTTAAATACTTTACAGTTTTCTTGGTCACGGACTCGGTCTTTTGGCTAAGATAAAGTGTACTATCTGTTCTTTTCAGCATAAAATCTGGTCACGGACTATTGACTACATCCGTGACCACGAAAACTGTAAATTAGTTTTTGTTAATAAAATTAAGAATACTGTTTCATTAAAATAGATATTTATTTTACCTTGAGTCCCGAAGCCAAGCGGCACTCGGGTGGTCTTTAAGTAGGAAACGATGGGTCAATTACTAGTTGACTGTGACAATTAAAGGGGTCAAGCAATAAACTGGCCATGACGGGAAACCTGCTAATGAAAAAACAATTTGCAAATGTTGTCTATGAACATCCGCTTAAACTAATACTTCAGCGCAAAATGATTTGAGACTTGATTTTTGGGGACAGTCACTTGTGGAAATCACTCGAAGAGGCCATGTATGCCCCATGCATAAGTAAGGCACCCGGCGTTTTTAAGACATACAGCCGTGTTGTGGTCTAAATTCTGTAGAAGGTACAATTTTTTTAACTATCAATCATAATGCTTGTTTTTTTTATTGCTTAGATGGGTGGACGAGCTCACGACTCACCTGGTGTTAAGTGGTTACCGGGGCCCACAGACATCTACAACGTAAATGCCGCCACCCACCTTGAGATATGAGTTGCAAGGCCTCACTTTTAACAGTACAACGGCTGTCCCGCCCTTCGAGCTGAAACGCTTTACTGCTTCACGGCGGAAATAAGCAGGGTGGGGGTACCTACACGTGCAGACTCACACGACGTCCTACCACCAGTAATTACGCAAACTATAATTTTGCGGGTTTGAGTTTTAGTACACGATGTTATTCATTCACAGTGGAAGTCAATCGTGAGCATATTTCATTGGAAAAATTAGTACCTACCTGCGGGATTCGAACACCGGTGTATCGGTACATACGAATGCACCTACGTCTTATCCTTTAGGCCACAACGCCTTCAAGCTTTAACAAATTCTAACTACTTCTGGACGAGAGAAGTCGAGGATCATGATGAGCGTCAATTTCGGCGGGATGGATGTAATATGCTCTGCGTAAACCCTGTCCCACCGTCTCAATAGCTCCGACTGGGCTCCGGTCCAGTCCGGGGTAGGGCGCCGGCTGTGAGCGGCAGTTTTTAGTGAGGTTCAACTCCCACATACCCCACCCACTGTGCGGATGGGGATCCGGCGATTTTCTCCTGTGGAAAAATGACCGTCAATTTGTCCTTCATCTAACCCAACATGAGGCTTAAAGATGAGCTTGACGATTTTTTACTGGTGGTAGGACCTCTTGTGAGTCCTCACGGGTAGGTACCACCACCCTGTCTATTTCTGTCGTGAAGTAGTAAAGCGTTTGGTTTGAAAGGCCGGCAGCCGTTGTAACTATACTGAGACTTTAGAACTCATATCTCAAGGTGGGTGGCGGCATTTACGTTGTAGATGTCTATGGGCTCTAGTAACCACTTAACACCAGGTGGGCTGTGAGCTCTTCCACCCATATATGCAATAAAAAAAGAAATAAATAAAAAGAGCTTCTGCCTTGTAACTGTAACTGGCCCGACTTTACCAATAAAATGTGGAACATACAATAATAATTTCGATCCCCTACGATGTTAATCAATTTAATTATTTATAGTAGCGATTAGTAAAATTAAACATTGGTTATGGTTAACTAGAGGTTGTAAAACGAAGCACAGGCGCCACCGTCTGTCTTCCGACGTTGTGGAGGTTCCCAAATTTTTTAATTAATCGAATATTATTATTGATTTGTGTTCACTTTTACTTCTGAATATTTTTAATATAATTAAATCGTTTATTTTCAGTATGTTCAAGATTAACAAACAGAGATTTAACTTGCTCTACACCATCATCCGTTTTGTATCGGCGTAAAAATGTTTATTTAATTAAATTCTCATTTACTGCCACTTTGACTTCAAGGTTGGTGGTAAAATTAATGTTATAACCACTTAAAACCAGGTGGGCTATGAGGTTGTATGTTTATCTAAGTTTTTAATTACCTACTTAGTTTTATTACTTTGCCACTTTTTCCAATTAATTACATTTAAGTAATTAATGCCTTTCTCTCTACAGTTTCACAGAATTTTTTATTGAATCAATTTTGTTAATAAATATTGAAATTTCAAATATAATTTCGACGTATTGGTTGTGACAAAGTAATTTTGATTTGACTGTAAATGTTTTACTGTTCTGATTTCGCTCACTGAAATTGAAAACGAAAGTTTGAGATAAACTGTCCTAAAGCCAGATTAAAGAAACGAGATAGTTACGACCCGAACTTGGTTTGTTATTTTAAAAATTAAAACAAAAGAAAAATTCGGTGGTCCCGATAACAAACTTTGGATTGTCAGACAAATTCATTAGCCGGGGTCCTTGTAAGAATTTGTCACAGGCATTTTTGTGGCATCTAGCCTAAAACAAATCGAATCGATATATTATTATTTTGTTAATCTAATTTTATTACATTTATAACGAACTGGCGGGAAAAAATATATTAAAAAATAATCCGACCTGTTTTTTTTTGATTCAATCATTTGTGAACGAAATGGGAATCGGCTTGCACCGATCATTACGAAAAGTCAATAAGGAAGCATCTGTCGTCACTAGGCTATACCCTCACGATGCACTAAGCACTTCTTGCATTACCTCATCAAAACGAACAACTTTCTTCGTTCAAATAATCTGAGCCGAAACGAAACGGAATCACAATCTAAACACACGAGAGACAAAGACGAAAATTCCAGTATTCTTTAGATAAAGAAAGACTTACGCGGGCTTTCGCTAGAGCGAAGAGAATGGCCAACGGTCTTGGGTGGCCACCCCCCACGCTTGGTCGATGACCATAAAAATGGGTATAAAATTGAAACATCAATATAATAAGCAATCATCGTTGGTCAGAACGATCCTAATTATACAGTGCGAGCGTACGTTACAAATTACTTCATGACCAAACATATGGATTGAGCCGAAAACAAGCCGTTATATCGGGCTTATAGTTGAAATTTCGCAACAATTGTTGTACATATTAAAGATCGTGTAATATTTGATTCGTGCCTATAATCTACGTGGGATGTTGGAGAAATTGAACGTTGACTTGGTAGACTAATGGCACTTTATATTTTTATCATAATTGGTGTTTACATGTAACGAATTAGATAATAACATTGGATTGGGCCTTTCGTATGACGCATTTCTATTTTCTTGTTTTAATAAATTACGTTTTAACGCTAAAAGGTTTTTGACTCTGTTAGATTTTTGTTCTTTTAAGTATCTATATAATTAATACGTGAAGCAAAAACTTTGTACCCCTTTTTACGAAAATTGAGCGGACGGAGGAGTATGAAATTTCCCACACTTATAGAGAATATACAGAAGGAGTGCAGAGTGTAAATATTGTTTTAAATTATGCATAAAAATACATTAAATCAATAATAAAAAATTACACACACTACCATGTATTTACACACACACGCATGCATACTATTTGACTATTGTCAAACTTTTCTTATTGCTTATAGTCTGTGATCAAATTGAGAATAGATTAAATAATGTTTGTCTTTATTAATATTTGTGTAAAGTGTAGTCTTGGCGAAATCTGTGCTTATAGAAGTACGAGTATAATAAATAGTCTTTGACTGTTTGACAATATAATCATAATAGTGTACAAACTTATAATTTCAATTAATTAAAGTCGAATTTCGACTACTGTGGGACCACTAGTTGTCGTGAATGTAGATGGAAGGAAGTGGCGTGGAATGACTTAGAGCGTGAACAATTAAAATAACCGGAAATACTTATTTAGGAAGGCGTGAGAGTTTAATGTCGAAACAATTTCCAAACCAGCTTCCAGACTCTGCAATTTCATAATTGAAAAACAAAATATTGCGAACGGAAATCGCTCGTGAGAGATAAAAGTTATAAAATAATATACGAATAAAAAAATCTATATATGTAGCTATGTTCGTCATAACTGGATAATTTGTATGATTAAGCCCGGCTCCCCGAGGCGGAGGCGCTGTGTTATTCTGTTTGTTGGTTTTACCAATTTAGTTCTTTTTTTTGTTCCCTTGAAGATAATTTTCAAATAACACTTCATTGGCTTATTGTGGATATGACCGAAATAACGTGTGATATTATACAAACGATAATTTAGTATGGTTGATCTATACCAGGTATTTCGTATTGGATGCGAATCTTTTATAACAAAAACGTTTGATTAAGACAAATAATTTGTTATTCGCTAAATGCCAGTCAGTGGTCCTGCAATTACATTCAGTAATGGCATATTATTATCTAGCTAAGCGAATGGTTTTATGTAATATTTAAACCTGAAACAGTATAGAAAACTGGATATAAAATATCTTGTTTGCAATATAATAATTTGGCACTATATCAAGCCCTTTTTGACTTACGACCCTATGTATAAGAGAACAAACTAAAATGTTAAGCCATTAGATAAATAACTGTAAAATTCATGATTACATCAACGGACTCAAATTAGGATTTTCTGTGCTGGAGGTACCAGAAAAATACACGTAAGAGACAAGAAATAATTTACCCTAGTACCAAACGTCAAATATCTTCAAAAACCTTAATATTAAATCGAATTATGGAATAAATAAAATTAATTAGGTGTACGCTATATATTTTTTTTTAATGGCCTTGTGGGCAGACGAGCATACGGCCCACCTGATGGTAAGTGGTTACCGTCGCGCATGGACTTCAGCAATGGCAGGGGCAGAGCCAAGCCTCTGCCTACCGCTTAATACTCTCCACAATAATATAATGAGCTATCCACGATAAGGTATCGTAACATCGCCCCCCAAAATCTCAGCAGTTGCGACGACGCGAACCGATTCCCATAATTTATGAATCGGACGGTGATAATAACGTGTTCGGAACTCCGCCTAACCCGTCCTAGGTGTTCCAAGCTGGTAATGGTATAAGGAACCCGAATATTTTCTCGCAATACCTACTCTATAATAAGAAGGAAGAAAATTAAGTTAAATAAACGAAGACCTGATATTTGAAATAAAAAATATATTTAAAGTCTCTGCAATATTTAAATCAATAGGTTTATGAAAACACAAACTTTGACTACTCGTATGCTTAAGTTTGATTTCGAAATTACAAATAATATATTATGTTGTTTAAAAACTAAAAATAAAAGATGATAACCAACCGAACTAACAATT